GTACAGGTGATAACTTGTAATGTCACTTGTTTAATAACACTGACTACAGGTGATAACTTGTAATGTCACTTGTTTAATAACACTGACTACAGGTGATAACTTGTAATGTCACTTGTTTAATAACACTAAGTACTGGTGATAACTTGTAATGTAACTTGTTTAATAACACTGACTACAGGTGATAACTTCTAATGTCACTTGTTTAATAACAATGGTTACACATAACTTGTAATATCACTTGTTTAATAACACTGAGTACAGGTGATAACTTGTAATAACACTAAGTACAGGTGACAACTTGTAATGTTACTTGTTTAATAACACTAAGTACAAGTGACAATTTGTAATGTCATTTGTTTAATAACACTGAGTACTTAAACAAGTAACATTACAAGTTGTCACCTTAACACTGAGTACTCACCTGTACTCAGTGTTATTAAACAAATAACATTACAAGTTGTCACCTATTAAACAAGTGACAATACAAGTTGAATACTGAGTACAGGTGATAACTTGTAATGTTACTTGTTTAATAACACTGAGTATAGGTGACAACTTGTAATGTTACTTGTTTAATAACACTCACGTCTGTGATTCAATCCTTTAGTTCACCTTGAATTTTAAGCACATGGCCATAACAAGAAGAGCATGATTAGGAATCTTTCTAGACAATTATAAGAATGAAAAATGTAAAACAGGCCTCAGCGAGCTAACATGTAAACAGTAAAGCTTAGATATCTTTTTCCTATTCATTAAATGTAAGAAAAAATTACATTAAGTAAATACAGTTATATTTCCTATACGCACACAAAGTGTTGCTCTGTGTAAGATTCAGCATAAGATAGCAATTCCATACAGCCGTGTAGGTCAGCAAAAGCCCTGATCCCCAAACAGTTAGAAGGATGTAGTTGGGTCTGCAAGAAGTCACAGCAAGCATCTCTAACGTCTGTTAGCTGAAGAAGATTAGCAGCTGGGAGCAGAACCTGGTAAGAATAAAACCACACTTGTATGTGTACAAGTTTAATATGATAATGTTCAGAAGAAAACAGGAAACAATGAAAATCCACTCTTTCACAATAATAAATGTATTTCAATAGTAAAAATATTTTCAGTTAACTTTTATTTTACATCTAATTGCCTAGTATGTTTGTTTTTGTTGTCACATCTGACCAAACACCAATAGATCTAGATACAGTTAAATATAAGTAGGTTGTGAAAACTATGTTTGGCAATAAAAAAATTCCATTCTTTTTCATAAAATTACTACCAACTGTTGACAAATATATTAAACATACCTTGACTCTACCTGTTGGATTCATTCACGTAAGTGATAAAACAGTTTCAGTATGGAGTAACTTTTATATTGGCAAAATTTTGTTGAGCAAATTCTGTTGAGCCATTCCTCGACCTTCAGGTTTTCAACTTTGCCCAATTAAGCATTGGTCTCGCTTGCTCCAGTCTTTTATACTCCACTTAAATACCCTGGGTAATATCTGCCTCGTGACACTCTCCACCTATGTCAATGCACCCTCTATCCTGGTACTGTATATAAGCACCTCACTCAGATAATGTAATCACTTTTTCGAGATTTACACCATCCCAGTCACTAACACCAGTTCTTTTTGGGGAGGAAGGGGGGTATCAGAGGAAGCAAGTATTATTGGAAATATATTTTCAACTTATGATAATGTTAACTTCCAAAACACACTTACCTCTGCTGATAGCTAGAATCCCACACTGAGAAGGTGGAGAGGCCAGTGAGGACATTATCCTAACAGAAAGTATCTGCACAGATCATGGATGTACCAAGATAAGATTGGTACCTAAGTGGGGGAACCACACTACATCCACAACAGGTATGCTCTTCACCTGGAACTCAGTTCCTATATCAAAGGTGGAACAGTACACGAGTGGTCATCACTATAGACCAGCCCCAACAAGATAGCCAAAGTTCCACTACTCAGGGTTGGAGTTAAGGGGACATGGTTCCTATATCCCACATTGGTGGCTAGGGCAAATGGACTGCAACATTACATTAAAAGATTATAAAATGAATCCCAACATGTAGCCATAGAGTGATGCATTCCAAACCAACAGAATCATGACGAGAAAGTAAGTAACACCGTGGACAAACCTGAAGAAGGCAACACCTCAGGCTCAGAATGGCATATTCCTTGCCTGTAATAATAGGCCAGAAAAAACAACATGGATCAATTTGTGAAGCCACCTCATCAAGGTAATAGGGGATAAATCATGGGAACCGAAGGAACACAATGAATAAAAAGTCGATTTATAGCACCACAAAAGGAGCTAGTGCAAGCCACATGACACCTGAGGGCTCTGACAGGGCATAACAAATGATCAGGACCTGAGCAGTCGTAAAGGTGAGAAATAGCCCATAAGTGAATTGGTGATAAGAATTTATCCTCTTCCCTGGCTGTCAGAGTCTTAGGAAGGAACGATCTAACTGGATAGAGCAAGACATAGGTAAAATGGTAAAGAGTCCTGTGCATATGCAGTGCAAACAAATCAGACCTACGACGTCTACATGCCAGCAACAACAAAAAAATACACTTCAAGAGAAAGGTGATATACAGAACATGATACTAAATGCTCAAAGGGATGACAAGACAAAGCATGCAATACCATCTAGGTATCCCAGTTAAGCAAAAGAAAAGGCTTTTTGGGACGAATTCCACGAAAAGATTTAAGTAGGCCGGATACAACGGGGGACTCAAAAACCTTCCTATGTTTTGAATACCAAAAAGACTGCTTATATAAGGCAACGGTAGATGAAAAAAGCCAGGTTGAAAAATGGGATATGGTGGAAACAGTTGGATGAAGTGGGTTTAATTTCCTGGCAATAAGTGTGCCATTTACGTTGATAAATAGCCATTGTGGGTCTATGTTATGGGTCTACAAAGCAGCTTTAGAAGTTAAACCCTGATGTCGTGCAAAGGACCTCATAACATCCAAGCATGAAGTTTGAGCTTCTGAATGTCCGAGTGTAGAAGTGGACCCTTTTGAAGATACTGAAGAAGAAGAAACCATGGTTGCGCCAACAAATACTGGGCAACCAACAGCATCTGACAAGGAGTAGATCAAACCATAGCCAGAACTCTGGTCAACAGACGAATCTGGAGGAAGGCATATAGGTGCAAACCTGTCCAGTCCTGACTAAATGCATCTATTGCCAAAGCCAAAGGATGGTGAATGCGTTGATCAGTGGAGACCCGAACTAAAGTAATTCCACCAGAAGACCTCGCGATGCAGCATCCATTCAGTCAGGAGAATGCGGATGGACTGAGATAGATGATCTGCTATTAAATCCATCACCCCATGGAAAAGGCAAGTGAGACGGTTGATAAGATGGGAGTGAGCCCAGTAGAGAACATTCAAAGTCCAAAAACAAAAGTCCCGGGAATGTGTGCCCCCTTGACAAGAAATGTAATACATCATTATTGAATTGCCGGAATGAATCATGACTATTTTCCCTTTCAAGAGAAGCAGACCATGAACCATTGCCCATTAAACAGCAAGGAGTTCTAAAATGTTTATGTGGAGGGAAGATTCGTCATCTGTCCATAGACCCTAGAATTCCTGACCATTGATATACATCCCCCATCCATGAAGTGAGGCATCTGTGAAAAGATGAACCTCGGGACGAGGGGGCTGAAGAGGAACACCTACGGTAGTGTGGTTTCAATCCAACCACCACTCAAAATCAAATATGTTGCTCTGAGTAAGGAGACTGGATGATTCACTGAATTGGAGGTCATGTTCCATTGGATGTGCAATGACCATAGAAGGGACCTCATGTTTGCACATACCAAAGGAACAAGAGATTTGAGGGATGCCCACATCCCCAAAAGAGAGAGAGCCATCCGCGCAATCAGAGAAGGAGAATTTAGTAAGTCTGACTGCTCCCTCCATAGCCTAGAGCTGGATGGGAGCTGACTCAAGAATGTGTTGAAAAAGACTCCCAGATAGACAATGTACTGAGTCGACAATAGAATGGATTTTTCTGTTCTGATATAAAACCCAGCCTTGGTGGCCACCGAGAGGAGAATTTAGGTGTGCTGTTCTGCCATCTGACGAGATGGTGCTAGAAGTAACCAGTTGTCCATATAATGATGTGTGCACAGGCCCAAAGAATGAAGATGACGAGGAAAAGCTCATACCATTCTGCAGAACACATATGGTGTAAATGATAGGCCAAAGGACAGAGCCCTGAACTGCAGAACCTGACCCTTGTGCACAAAACGTAGAAATTGGTGGGATGACTTGGCTACGGGAACATGAAAGTATGCATCAGCAGCATCAAAGAGACCTGGTGAAAAATGCCATCATAGGCTGAGAAAGGACTCCATGGTGAACTGAAGAGAATCCAAGAATTAATTGAGACGAGAAAGATCAATGATTGGACTCCAATCTCCCATCTTTATGGCCACAACACAACAAAGAGACATAAATAAAATCCCAGAATGGGATTGACTCTCTCTCTCTCTCCGCCCCTTTGATCAACAAATCCCTTACAGCTCTGGAATGAAGAGCCATATTCTGCGGATCTGTTGGAGGCAGAAATGCCACCAGTCAGGAGAATAAAGGAGATGGAGATGTGAACTGAATGACCAACCCTGACACCAGAACCTGGAGGATCCATGGATCTGTGGTGAAGGAAGTCCAAACCCACAGACCGTACCGGCATCGGACAGTCACCGATGTCCTTGGTGGTGGTCTGTCTGAGAAGAAGAGCCACAAGGATAAAGATGGAATCTATTGTGAGTATCAATAGATGAAGGAACTGAAGACGGGGGTCAGAACATGCGACGAGCAGACATCAATCCTCCATTCCAATGCATCTGCAACACCTTCAAACAACAATGGATGGAGAAAAGGAGTATGACAGCAGGTAGACAAATTCCCTCCAACAAGGCATCTCTACCCATTAAGTCCCAATAATATGCAAGCCAGGAAACAAAAGACAGAGAGCAAAAGCTGATAATCTGACCATTGTGGAAGTCAGCAATTTTTTGACTTATTCAGAAAAAAAAACATTAAGTCCTAAAAGAGGGGGGGATACTACATGTAGAAAAACATAAACCTAACATCAAACCCTTAATTCAAATGCATAGCTATGATTATAAAGTTTCATACAAGAAAAATCAAGTTTTTCTTATAATCAAAATGACTTTAGACTAACCTGAACATTATCCTCAGTAACTTCAACCTCTGCTGAATAAACATAATCTATTAATAGCTGCAGAGCTTGGCCGTCGATTCCTTGTAAGGTGATCCTCTCAGCTTTACTCTCAGTAAATCCAGTAAACATAGCATAAAAGTATGAGCTGCAGGAAGCTAATATCATTTTATGTGCAGGAATTTCAACCCCATCAGCAACCAGAATAATATCACACAGCAGGTTTTGTCTGAAAAACACATACAGATAGATATAACCAAGTCTTGTGAAATCCTGAGAGGCAATTTTCAGTAAATACTCATTAAAAATCATATGCTTTCTGATATAATATAATTAGCAACATAATTAAACATACCAGAAAAGATTAGGATAGCACTTGATTTTCCAATAAGTATAAAAGTATATAAAAAGAGAGGCTTAAGAGGTGGTTTAAAAAATTGATATCTCACCAAGTCAAGAAGGTAGGTGATTCAAATTTAATACTCTCCTTTTTCAATATGTGTAATCTGTGACTGTAGTTGGTCAGACACTAAAAAAGCTGTATTGTTGAAGTTATAAAGTCATTGGTCAAACACTAAAGAAGCTGTATTGTTGAAGTTATAAAGTCAAAAGGGGAGACAGACTAGTGTGTCACATGACAGAAGAGTGAAGGGAGTTTTTATGGGAGATAGACTAGTGTGTTACATGACAGAAGAGTGAAGGGGTTTTTTATGGGAGATAGACTAGTGTGTTACATGACAGAAGAGTGAAGGGGTTTTTTATGGGAGATAGACAAGTGTGTTATATGACAGAAGAGTGAAGGGGGTTTTAATGGAAGATAGACTAGTGTGTTACACGTAAGAAGAGTGAAGGAGGTTTTAATTGGAGATAGACTAGTGTGTTACACGTCAGAAAAGTGAAGGGAGTTTTTATGGGAGCTAGACTAGTGTGTTACATCCCTTCACTCTTCTGTCCCCATAAAAACCCCCTTCACTCTTCTGTCATGTAACACACTAGTCTATCTCCCATAAAAACTAAGATATACTAATGTGTTACATGACAGAAGAGTGAAGGGAGTTTTTATGGGAGACAGACTAGTTTGTTACACGACAGAAGAGTTAAGGGGTTTTAATGGGAGATAGACTAGTGTGTCACATGACAGAAGAGTGAAGGGAGTTTTTTTTTCCTTTTGGAATTAAAATGAAATCTTAGATAACATGAAAATGTGAATGATAAACTAAACTTTGAAGCTAAGTTTCCTAACATTCATTGATAATGAACTTGCTTAATTAAACGTTGTGATGTGCAAGGTTAACAATTTTTCTCATATTATTTCTAAGATTATTTTGATGTAACAAACTACAACTTAAACTTTGAAGAACTAGCTTTAATAATATATGTGAGTAATTAATTTCTTTCATTTTTGAAAACATTCAAATTTTCCTTGAGAATCCAAATTATATCTGGAAATGATAAATACATAATTGCAAACAATTCATTACAGCAAACTCGTAAATGTTTGAAATTCACAAATATAACTAAATTTTTAGGAAAACTATATTGCATAACTTCTTCAACTAACATAAAACTATCTTATCACTATTTCAAAACAAACAAAAACCTCATAATCCGAGCACTTTTAAAAAGAGGATCTGTCTTCATCAGATTTCCCCTCATAAGGAAAGGTCCACCTTTCTGAAAGCATTCGGGTTAAAGAGTTTTGTATTTTTTATCTTAACCCTTTCAAGACGGGTCACAGGTGAAAGGCCAAGTTATCTTGTTTGTTGACTCACATTTAAAGTTTTATTGAACTACTCTTTCATGTATTTATGTCAATAAGTTTGGTATCAAACTGTAGATTATAATTCAAATTTTAGAACTACACATTACTCAATTTGTGAATTTAAAAGTAAATATTAAAAAACACAGATGAACATCGATTTTTATGTGTCACATGGTATGTTGAATGCAGCACTTGTTCATATTAGATGTTTGTGAAGTCAAAATACTAAGTCTGTAATTTCATATGAATTAAGAACTCAAATTAGAGATACTGACAAGCTAGAATATAAAATAAGAATGTCTTATCTTTTCTATTAACTAAGATATTGCTCACATAATAAATCAAACACAGTGGCACCTCACCAATCTTTTTTGATTTTTGGAAACACTCCCTTATATACACTTACTTCTATATATAACATGAATAACCAATCAGGAGCTCAGAATGACCCCTAGTGGCTTTCTCAGCCATTTTAATGGCCATTTCTTTCTTTTGAACCAATATTTCAACGAGGTAGGTTGTGTCTTTAGTCTGCTCGAAATTTCTTATTTTTTTGGACTAAAATACATCTTAGTTACTAAGCTTGATAAATTATTGTGGAACTGTATGATATCGATGTAGTAATATTTAATTTTTTAGTTATTCAAATGTATATATATATATTAAACCTATTTTCTTTCATATCCTCCACGTGCAAAATTTTTAAAGGCAAAGGAGTACAAAGGTCGTAACTAGAAGACATAATTGTTT